ATTGATACACTCCTGTTGATATCGTATATATCAAAGGGACCAGCGTAATGACGGTAACGATGCCGTTTTATTTAGATTAGCAGCACACCTCACGTTGTTGTCGTGTCAACTGCTAAACAAATATGGTTCGCGGGATATGATATGCGCCAGCTCATTACGTGATACTGGCCACGCAGACTCAGCCTCTGAATGGCATGTACATTCTACATAATGTTAACAGTGGTAAAACCTTTTAGATTATTTGAACATGAACACGTGAAAAATATATGTGATATTGATTGATATTATCAGGAGCGAATAATAATAGATCTAAAGATCGATAATAATAGATCTATTATTATTCGCTCCAGATATTATAGTAGCTAATCCTAAGAGTTTATTACTTATACAGCAAATTGACAAATAATTATAACAATATAATATAATAAATCCATATTTATACCCTAATTATACAACGGACACACATTAATGCAGGCAAGCGGTCTTCAAATTACACAAATTCCCCCATTAACGTCGTAGTTAGGCTCCTGAAAACCGCGGATGAAACGACGATAAATTAAACGTTCTGCCATCTGATCGCATTTCCAACAAGCTAGCTTTTATATATTAAACAGCGTAATCATGCACTCATGGCTAAGTTTCAAACATATTAAATTTTCATAAATAACTAAAGCAAACGTCCATTGTTAAGTAAAGGGCCAAATATTACTCAGTGCATACATTAGTTCTTGTAATATAGCCGACGCCTCATATCAGTCACAGTGGTATTTTTTCTCAACGACATAACGAAACAACGTTGAATGAAACGGCGGGAGTCTTGACGGAGGAACGAAGGGGCCTGTACGCGGGTCAGCTCAGCTAATGACGTATTCTTATTTATTTACTTCTACTCATTCATCAGTTTCTCTTTTCATCCCAACTCGGCGTTGTCACGACAATACACACGACGCGGTATGACTATACAATTACACACATTGCAGGTCGTTCTATACCTGTGTCAGATACTCTACGTTGTGGGCCCAGAAATAGCACTCGCGACGTGCACACATCGACGGGGATTGAATGGACAATCTCCGAGCTTTCATCACGAGGGCTAGAACGCTGCCGTTGCTATGGCAACGTGTCCTTGTTTCGCTCTAGAACGCGTAATCCGTCGGCGAAAATGGCTCGCGCCTCGCTGCTCTCGCAGTGCATGCGCGTGTTTCTATGATATAGGTGCTCACGATGGGGGTCTTTCGCTTCTCCTTCTGCATGCCTGGTCTCACACGTCCGCGATTCCGTCTCTATATAGCGCGGATGAAGGTGCAACGATACAAAATATCAAGAGTCCATAATAGAAATAGATCCATAGAATAGATAATAAAATAGATCCATAGTCTTCTATTATGGACTCTTGAAAATATCTAGTGTCTGCAAACCGTTCCACCCTCGTCGGAGTTCGATGTTACGATGACGTATATGCATAGGTTGTTGGGATTTTGATGGCGGCAACAGGGAAGGTTGGTGCGGCTGACGGCTGCTGATATCCGGCCACCAACGGTCGTCGTTGAAGTGATATTTTAACAATTCTCATAATTCTCCTCAGGCTTCTGAATTAACCTCTGTGCCTACCTGAGCTTAACGATGTGGGCTCATGGACCGATTCGTGCAGGTTATTGCGTGGAAAAGCAGCGAAGAATTCTTCGTTGTGGGGGCGTGACAAGGAGCAAGCGTACGTCAGACGATTAGAGTGGATTAACGAACAGCTTCTCGTAACACACGCACACCGAGTGAAGGAAAACTATGGGAACGGGGATTTGTGAATTAAATCAAACTTATATGGATGTGCCAATCGGATCATATCGAGAAAGCTAGAGACATGCAAGTCGAGCGAAAGTCGACTCGAGTCTAAACTAAACAAACGATTCAAAATGTATATTAAATGCGTGTTTTTGCATCTTGGAATTGGTTTAATTTAGGAATAAATTTGGCTGCATCTTTAATGATTTTGAACATATCTTTCTAAAATCGTTAATCACTTGCTCAATGCATGAAGCATACGGTTCAAGATTACCTATAAAATACCATCGAATTTATACGCATATGTGATTAACATCAGAAGCCATGATTAGTTTGCGGAGTATTAGAGTAGCAAAACACAAGACCTAACATATTACACAAATGAAACATCAATTTAAATGTTTCCCTCCAAAAGACCTACCATGTTTTACTGCACTATTAATAGTTGCTGCTTTCGTTAATTGCTGTTGCGACCTTTAATTTTGGCATCGCATTGTCTTATTCCACAAAGCTCCATAACAGCCCTACTATACAACATTTACATAGTTGTCTTTCATGTGTGATCTGAAGATCGGATGCTATTCTTTATTTATCGGTGCCTTTAGCGATTGCTCACGAAATAGTTTATATTACGTGCATTCGTCACGTTGCTTCTACGACGCAGTGGAGCATTCTGCGATATTGAAGCACCGACAGGCAGGCTACGCGCGATCGATTGCCTAGAACCTACTCGGGGGAGACGCGGTTTGCGCGCTTTCCCCTTGCCTCCTCCCACAACAGTCGATGTTTTGTTGCGGCAGCTCGCCATCGCTGCCCAAGTCACGCGATCAAGCATGCGTCGATGGATTTTGTGAGCGCGGTGAGCCGTGAGACTGTGACATGGTCCGCAGCGTGCGGTTTGTACCAGATGGATGGATATTAACGAGCCTAATGAGCAGCACAACATGGCGGGTCGTGCACGTAGTCTGTAAGCTGTGCCGCCGATGTAAAAAAAATATATCGGACGGCGACGTAAAATATTACGTTAGCGCAGAGATGAATACGCGCATAACATCCGACACCTGCTGTTTCAGGCCGGATCACCTACGAACGGCCCGCCAATGGGCAGTAGAACCTGTTCGAACTACTGAATGAAGGTGCACTTGGCGCCAAGCAGACCTCATCTGCCGATGGTTCTACTCCCGCGGACCTACCGTTATGAATCGTGCACGTGCTTAACTTTGTCTGAAGCCCTCCCCTAGACGACCGTATGACATCACATATATTGCTATCATTTACAACATGACCTCATAAAGAAGTGGCGGCGAACGTGCAACATGATAAGATGGTGTCATGATTCCCGAATGAACCGAGGCGGAGATTTATATAATATAAAGCGGGTGCCTGTCTCAGAGTAGCTAGCCACCCGATTGCGTTTTAGTTAGTCATCAGATGTAACTGCAGATGAAATTGTAGTTAGCCACCAGATGGAGTTATAGTTAGCCACTAGATGACATTGAAGCTAGCTGCCAGGTGCAGCTGCAGCTAGCCGCCAAATTGAGTAGTATTAGCTACCAGATGCCACTGAAGCTAGCCACCAGATGGAGCTGTAGCTAGCCGCCAGATGGCGCTGTATTTAGCCGCAAGATTGAATTGTGGTTAGCTACTAGATGGCGTTGCAGCTAGCCTCCAGATGGAGCTGAAGCTAGCTACCAGATAAGCTGTAGCTAGCCACCAGAGGAAGCCATGCGTGCGCAGTTCGTTGGCGGCACAGCAGCACCTTGATTGCTAGGCGTCCTAATTATCTCCAGAGCAGGAATACACCCGTCGATGCTGATTCTAGGAGCTGCGCTTGCCCGCAAAACGCTTATCGATCGGGTCGGACACACCGGCGTAATTAGAGCTGACACGGGAGAAAACATTAGCGCCGATCGGCGGGCAAACAGCTCTCAGCTATTGACGCTGTACGCTGAGCGACAATGGCCGCCCGTCGGCTTCGCATGACCGTCATCGTGCGAACAGCGCAGACGATGCTGGCCACCGCGCCGCTGTTTACGCGTTATTTCCCTTCGCACGACAAGCGTGCTCGTGCATGCGAGCGTGCCTGCGTACGTACGTGCGTACGTACGTACGTGCGTACGTGCGTACGTGCGTACGTGCGTACGTGCGTACGTGCGTACGTGCGTACGTACGTAAGTGCATACGTACGTGTGTGCGTGCGTGCGTGCTGTGCTTGCGTGCGTGCGTACGTACGTACGTGTGTGCGTGCGTGCGTGCGTACGTACGTGTTTGCGTATGTGCGTACGTACGTGTGTGCGTGCGTGCGGCTGATCACCGGCGCGCAAACATGAATGACGAAACACGCTCGTGTGACGTAAGACGTCACCGATTGCCTGACTGCAGTCACGCGTCATGCGTACAGTGCCGGCAAAAACAGAACTAACGACGTCGCTGTTTGCATGCGGGTTCGCTGCAGCGTCACTGTCACTCACTGGATCGATGCATCGATGTATTGGGGTAGGATATAACTAGCCGGCGACAATAACAGCTGCGAAATGTTCTGCCAGAGCATGTCCATGTTCGCCGGAATCCTCACGAGCTTTTCATGATTGCCGAATAACTGCGAAAAGATGACGCCATCTTGCGTATGGCGGCTCTTCGCGACATTTAAACGCTGCTCCCGATAATTGGATGCGATTCACGTGTCTTCGTGCCACTCTATTCCACTCTTTGCCGCTGTATGCGTTGATTTAAAACTGATTCGTTGCGTTAGTGTGAAGTAATTCTATTGTTATTAATTCCGCGCACTTTTCTGTGATATCGCAATCGCGAGCTAACGATGGGTCCAGGTTCTCCACACATTTCCCCGGATCTGATTCTATGTTAGTATGAGCCTGGTGAAGAGGCGCGCGTCTCAAACCCTTTGTGTGTTTAAAATTTATTACTACCTTATTCTTATCAATACATCGTAATGCTGAAAATAGCGCGGTTCAACACTAGATTATTGTGCTATGATGCTGATGGTGGCAGGATGACCATGACCTATACTGCTTTCTTACTTCCATTATTCATTTTATCTCGTACCTTGTTGGTTGAATGAATACCGGTAAGATTTCCTAGCCGAATAGTTTAGCGCTCACACTGGCTACCGAGGTGAGCATTCTTCTGTCGATAATTAACCTTAAGGTAGACTGTCAAACAACAATGAGAGGTCAATCATTCCCGGCATACGTTCGTTGCAGCCGGATTCCAAAATGGTGATGGACGTCGTCGGCCGGATGGAGGATACGGAACCATTCTCGGAAGAGTTGACGGCAGCCATGAAGCGGCTGTGGATAGACGCAGGCGTACAAGAATGCTTCTCCAGGTCGAACGAGTACCAGCTGAACGATTCTGCCAAATAGTAAGTCACTCCTCATCTGCTTCTTATGCCCTGCGTTGCGTTCGTGCGTATATGTCCCTGGCGTGTATATATACATATTGTGCGTTAGCATGTGCGCGCCCCCCCCCCACGATTCAATCATTTCTTTTGAGTTTCATTCTATTTTGAGGTAAAATTACAACTAAATAAGCTAAACAGCGACAGTAAAGCAGACGTTTTGCTCGTTCCTTAAAGCAGACGTTCCTTTAATCTCCCGGCGATGCTCGCATTTTGAAAGCTAATGCCCGACTATGAATGCCGTGGCTCCATGTGTGAAGCCGATAACCAGCAAATTTACGGAAAGCAATAAAGCGGATTCACAGTGACAATGGAATGCATGATAACGTGCTGGGGGTCTGTAGGAAAGCGCATTTCAATATGCTGAGCAAAATACTGTCAGCTCTGCTGAATATATTTAAGTCTGACATTTTGCCCAGATGCTAGTATGGGGGTGATAGTAGGGTAGTTTTTAGATTCTTTGTTATCACAATATGGTTGGTCCCGTCCATAAGTGAAGCTATGTACTTCCGCGGAGGCGATTCATTCACCAGATGTCGCCAAATTCCACAATTTCGCGAATAGGCGAAGGGCAGAGATTCATGCCAATGCTTCTATTTTGCTGAGTCATGTCATTTTCGCTGTTTATTGCATGGAGAGCTTGCGTGTATGCTTCCTACGATCATTACTGTCGGCTGTAGGCGGAGCTAGGTATTATAAATTGTCCGCTACAACATCACGTACGTGCCGCTCATTATATATAAGATACTGCTCATTAATACGATCAGCAGGAAACATCTCAGTACATTTTCCCACCAATTAAGCATAATTTAGAAGCCTAGTAGCGAATAATAATTGATAAACTAGAAATATAGTTTGTCTATTTTTGCTAGTAGATTTATCGTGTAATGCTCGTTATTTCATCGATCATGCGCTGCGCAACGTGCGATATACTGCTTCTATTGGCCTTGCCGAATCACTAGGCGTAGGAACTTGCTCACACCCTCTATTCCCAGGTAGAAGATCTGCTATATCTCTTCCGTTAGTCTCCTTTTCTATGACGGCGCAGTGTTTCAGTGCGATTGCAAACCTAGCGCTCTACGACCTTACCCGTTCATCGCTAACGTGATGTTTACTAAAACACGGTCGATATGCAGCTTTTCACGGCGTGACGCAGGTGCTATGCTAACTAGCATGTCGTGGCTTCCCGTTCTAGAGAACGCGCCCACACTGTTTGCTCACGCATCGATACTAACATGCCGAGCGTGAACATGCATCTGAACATGCCGAGCGTACAATGCAGAGAAAAGCTTCGATTCGAACCCGCGAACGACACTTGTTGACACGTATTGACGTCTTGACACGTATTGTCGCGACCTTAATGTATCAATGGCGGCGTCAAGCACAACCTTATTTATTCCGCTTTTATTTATTACGTTCAGTGCTCTTCGTTGGGCGTCTTGGTTTCTAAACTACACTTCGTCAATTTCTCTGTAAAGCCATCAATTTTCATGACATTTTGTTACGAAGGCTGGGATCATGCCAAGTGATTTTTCCAAAGGCAAACGCATGTTGTCTCGCGTGCGAGATGGCGACTCACTGATGAAGCTCGCTCCTCAAAACAGGTCGTTGGAATTCCGGTATCTAATTGCTGAATCCGCGTGATTGACGTTACATTTGGGGGTCAATGACCGCGCGAAGCTTTCCGAAAACGCCGACTCATGGACTAGACAGCATTGGTGGTATAACGTGTGCAGCAGCGTCAATATCAATTGAGATGGAAAACACGTCGCTTCGCCGGGATAGCGAAATAAGGGGCTTTATGGTTAGATTAACCACTAGGAACCTGTTTAGACTGGACCCATACAATTCGGTTATTCGGAGTTAATGTAAGAAATGACATAGACAGACCTGATACCCCCCCCCCCCGATATGAAGGCGCATTACGAACAATTTCTGCGCATTCACACGTGATACACCAGCAAACGGATGGGTTTCTCTTCGTTTGCTGAATTAAAAACGGCCATATGCTTATATCGGCTACCAATAGGTGCCAGGTCAATGTGTGGTGTGTGTGTGTGTGTGTGTGTGTGTGTGTGTGTGTGTGTGTGTGTGTGTGTCGTGTGGTGTGTGTGTGTGTGTGTGTGTGTGTGTGTGTGTGTGTGTGTGTGTGTGTGTGTGTTGTGTGTGTGTGTGTGTCGTGTGTGCGTGCGTGCGTGCGTGCGTGCGTGCGTGCGTGCGTGTGTGTGTGTGTGCGGTCGCGCGCGTGTGTGTGTGTATGCGTGTGCGTGTGCGTGCGTACGTGGATGCGTGCGTGCGTGCGTGCGTGCATGCGTGGATGCGTGCGTGCGTGCTTGGATGCATGCGTGCGTGCGTGCGTGACTGCGTGCCTGCGTACGCACATGTTTGTCAACATGTAATGTAACACTGCGTGCGTCCACCCTGGCCATGAATTTAACGGGATTTTGATAATGAAGACAATTGCCACGTTGGCTAATTGCGTCTCGTAGCGTCTCTAGCTGCAATTAAACGTCGTAATATGAGTAATGGCAAGCAGTCGCTGGTGTTTGGTGGCAGTTTGCGAGAGAAATAACGAGAAAAATGGCGGAGGAAACGAGCGAGAGGTATAATTGGAGGTGACTGGATGGTTCTACGGGTGGGTGGACGGATGGAGAAACCAATGGATGGACAGACGAATGCACGGACGGACAGACAAAGGGACGGCGAGGGATTGGGTGTACATATGTTAAAATATGAATGTCACTCTAATGAATGGTAGATGGACGATTGCACGTATAATGGAAAGGCATGTGATAGCCCCTCTAGACAAATTGCGCTGATACGAGCACGCGATGGACAAGTCCTACTGCAGACTCATTTAGATGTTTCGAGAGCACGAATTTTGTTTAATATCCATCTTCTGATTATGTAACTATCGTGCCTGTTATCGCTGTAACGCATCGTTATATTGCAACGATATTGTCGTAATGAATTCGAAATATACATCCTTCCTCGACTAAATATTATTCCCCATTTTCACTGTATTTTTACAGCTTTCTTGATGACTTGGATCGACTGGGTCAGAAGAACTATATGCCTACGGAGCAAGACATCTTAAGGACGAGGGTAAAGACAACAGGAATCGTAGAAGTACACTTCTCTTTCAAGAACTTAAATTTCAAGTGAGTAATGAGTGTGTGGCGGATGCTGCGCTTCTATATATATTTCATTCTATTGATTTCGATGGCATTTTGACATAGCACACGAATATGTCAGATTATGTGAACGAAATAGGAACCTGTCTTCTAAAGTGAGGGTGCTTACAATCTACACCTACGACTAAACCTTGTGAGCCAGACTAGCGTGAATGTACATCTACAGTATTGAACAGTATGAAGGTATATGCTGGTATGTGAAGGCCATAACGAATGCGTGGGGTAACATCATAATCATAATATAACCACAACATAATGCTGCGCGTGGTGCTTCCACGGCCAGCCTAGGCTGAGTGCGAAGCAGTGAAAGTATTACGCCCTATCTCGACGCTCATCCTGGATTCTTAGAATAAACAAACGGCTAGCTAAGGCCGCAGCTTAAGCGCTGGCAGGGATTCGAGTATGTACAGCGTGAAATCCTGTCCCATCCTCTATGTCAGCGTGCACAGTGTGCCACATAATGTCACCCACGTCATTCACAGCCGAGCGCATGCAATGTCAGGGCATGTATCTCGCTCTATGAATCATCACGTGTGCAGCTTTATGCCCGGACTCAGCCGCCCGATTTTCAGCCGGGCGGCTCAATCGCATGAAAAATCGGCTAGTGTGTCCACAGCTGTGTGTAGGACGTGTGTTACATGCGATGCGCGAGCTTGCATGCTATATAACACCGATTAACTTACAAGCGGGCTGCACAAGTGTGGATGTCGTGGCAAACGAATAAGATGGGTCCTCGCTGCACCATTCCACGTTTTCACGGATTTCTCGGGTTGCAATTATGCACTTACATCCGTAGACGAATGTCGCTCAAAAATATAATGGTTTTAAACGAAAGGATAGTTACGTAGCAGCAGAATAATTAGTACAAGGGTAAAGAGAAGTAATAGAAAACACACATGCAGTGCAACTTTTGTAATTCCGGCAGAATATACGTTCTTACATAATATTCTACATAATATACTGTCGCTTTCATACCATGTAAACACACGTGCGCGTTCTGGTTAATGTATAAGATACCTTGCGAATAATTAAATCATCTAAACTGTTGCTGAGATATACGTGTCGTACGTGTCATAGTATGAGGGCTGGTAAGCCGTCTGGCAATATCTCTGTCGATTGGCACTTTGCAGATAACGACATTGAAAGTATGGAATCGGATTCAGTCGGTGCGATCACGACTAAGTAATAGATAGATATTTCCTATTTACTCCAATACCAGCTGGATGGGATTTTAGATCAATTGGGCTATGAAAGATTCGGGCAGATGCGATGGTGATGCTATCCTCCATATTGTTTCCTTGTTTCGTCTCGTACAGGTTGTTTGATGTGGGCGGCCAGCGGTCAGAGCGGAAGAAGTGGATTCACTGCTTTGAGGATGTCACTGCCATCATCTTCTGTGTAGCCATGAGCGAATACGACCAAGTTCTACACGAGGACGAGACAACAGTACGTGTCGTTGCCATGTGCTGAGAGGCGTATCGATGCTTTTAGCAAATATTCCAATCGTAATCATTCATCCATACATTATGGCATCAACAAACGTACAAATGGACTGGCACGCACACACACGCACACGCGCGCACGCACGCACGCATGCACAAACGCAAGCACACACGCGCGCGCACTCACACACACACATGCACGCACGCGCGCACTCACACACATGCACGCACGCGCGCACTCACACAGCACACACAGGTAGACGGACAAGTTGGCAGACAGGCAGGCACGCACGCACATCATTATCATTGTGTGTGTTCGTGCGTGCAGTGTGCGTATTGATATTAGCAGGTTTTCTGGCATTATTATTTAGCGAATGGAATTAGTATTTCCACCCAAATTTCAGAAACATCAACAGCTTATGCAATCCTAATAACATTTATTGTCCGTCGTTAAAAATGAAGAGAGCGATAGGCGGGAGGTTCGTAATAATTACGTCTCGGCGTCATTTATGGCTTATCAAACCGAAACCCATCACTGTAGGCAGAGTAATAGGATCTGCGTCTCTTCTCTTCTGTTGGCTGGCTATTCGACCAGCCCAGACACTCGAACCTCGAGACCTGCGAATTACATACTCACGCGCCAATAGACTGCACGGAACATTTTGTACCTGTAATATTTCTACGAATAATCAATAGACTTTTATCGATCGCTAACCTCCACGTCAGTAGCTAAAGCGGGGAACACACCATGCGAATTTATTCGCACGTCCGCAGCGATTGTAAAATCGCAGCGAAATTAGCATAATGTGTCCGCTCAAGCGCGGGCGAATTTTGCGGCGAATTTCATCCGCACCGAAATTCGCAGCGATCAAACATGTTTGATATTTTCGCTCCAGATTTTTGCCGCTGCGTACAAATTCGCATGGTGTGTCCGTGCCGTGGTGGTGCAAGCCGGCCGATTGTTATAATGCAGCGAATCATTGATCAGTATGCTAATCACGTGACCACATGACTGTTGGAGCCATAGAACTAATATAGATAACCTTATATATCTATATATTATTTCTATAGGTTGTCTATATTATTTCTATGGTTGGAGCCATGGTGGAGCCGTGTGGCGCCAGTAGATCGCGTGTAGTGTGTCCGATGCGGACGTGCGAATAAATTCGCATGGTGTGTCCGCTCAATTATCGCATGCGGGTGCGAATATTTTCGCCGCGAATTTCGCTGCGAATATTATCGCCGCGGACGTGCGAATAGATTCGCATGGTGTGTCACAGGATTTAGGTTGTCGCAGCCTGCCGCTATGGTAACAAACGAGCAGCTAACGTTAGTGGGTACACGTGATGGAGAAGTATGCTCACACGAAGGTACTTTTGGCAAAAACAAACGGTTGGTATTTTCGGATTGGACAATTTCAATGATCTGGAACCGGGAAATACCAGATACATTTTCCCACTGATTCGGGAATCGAACTAAAAATCGCGATTTTATTTAAATGGGAACTGGCAGTGTCATATGTTTCTACCTGTGACACTGGGGGTGATCCTCCCCAACCCTCTCTGTGCTCAGTTGTCACCGAGGACGTGCGCACACTGCGACACGTGGAATTAGATTCGCGAATTGATGATGCAGTTAGGTATCTGTGGGTGGACATGCGTATAAGGAGAGACTCTAAGGAAGGCAATCATCTGGGCTAAACACCTGGATAGGGGTAGATAACTCATTTTGACTTGGGGAGGGAACGCAGTTTGTATTTTGGGCAATTGACCGTGGCTATTGGCCATTGACCGTGTAATAATATCTACATTTGCATAGAGGGGGTAACCCCCTGTCCCCTGAAATCCGCGAAAGGGTGGAATAGGGCTGGTTGTGCTTTTACCTTCGTTAATGTTGCTATGGTGAGAGAGTGTGTGTGCATGTGTGGGTGTGTGTGTGTGTGTGTGTGTGTGTGTGTGTGTGTGTGTGTGTGTGTGTGTGTGTGTGTGTGTGTGTGTGTGTGTGTGTGTGTGTGTGTGTGTGTGT